TCAAAAACCTCAATTTCTTTGCGACTGAAGACAAAAGCCCTATTCGCACTATTACCTGGTGACCTCCAGTCATTTGTAATAATTGCGGAGGTTGTCTGTGATCTTAATCCCGTGCGATTCGGCCATGTCTGTAATTAGTAAAGTAAAAATTCCCCCGCAGATGACCTACCATATTTCGCCGAACACCGAGGTCCTGTGATCATATTAGTGCCGTGCGAATCGGCATCTCTGTGATTCGGCCAGCATTTGGCGGGTCGTGTATCATTTTTCGAGGTTTTTGTTTCCTGTGTGCCTTTTTATCCGCCTTCCGTGAAGAATGGAGCTGCGTTGGAGTGTTTGATAGTATTCTGGGTGCTGTCGTCGTATCGCTACACCATACAATTTGCAGAAAGAGAAAGCTGAAAAGGTTTTTTAGGTTAATGTGTTACAAATAAATCAAGCATAAAGCTTGAGATATTATTTTAACCTGGTGAAATGTAAATGACACTGCGCACGACACTATATTCGTTTTTTGTTTTTTTTAAATCCATCTGGACCATAGAACGGGACTCTCTCTGACATCCGGGTGTCCGGGAGATAAGTTAGTAAATTCGAGTAAAATCACAGGCTTCGCTTATCCCCTGCGAATGCACCACACGAAATTCAGATGTGGGGGGGTAATTTCAAAATCTCACAAGATCCCCAGATAATACTAATCCTGTGCGATTAGGGCTAAAGACATGAACATGTTGAATGGCATGAGGGTGAGTAAATCATCAGAATTTTTATTCTGGAAGTGAACTAATCCTTTAAATACAGCATAACTCTTATGTGCACCCACATATCAGTTTACAACAGGATTGTTGGCTTAATTGGACTGAAAATCCTTCGTATAAACACTTCAATTGATCCGATTGAGCTAGATGAAAATTAGATATCAATTTGATTTCAATTTGCATTTGATTAATTTCTGAATCCGTTCAAAAATGCATCGCACAGCGCTGTGATGCTTATGTTCGTTGTGCATCATACAAACGTCTTATGAGCTGGTCAGTGGAGACTGTATTAAATACACTAAATTATTCTGATACGGTGATGCATTTAAAAAAAAAAACTGAGAATGTAAAAACAACAGTTTTGATCATTTGACACTGAAGTTTTGTTTGGGATACAGCTTGTGTAATGTGAATTGGATTTCAGAATATGAAACGTTTCACAATCTGATGTCAGGTTGAATTCATTCTTACTTGATGAAGTGAGTGCATGTAAAAATGCCTACTGTTAACGCGTGTGGAATCTCAGCAAATGATGGGTTTTGTTTCAGCTGCGTGTGGATAAGTGGTGGGGTAACCGGAAGGAGTTGGCCACGGTCCGCACCATCTGCAGTCATGTCCAGAACATGATCAAGGGTGTCACACTGGTAAGTAAATTTGATTTTGGGCATCCTCATGCTAACATATCTAATTCAGCTTTTAAGTGACTGTATTCGTGTTCTTAATGCAAAGAGGAAAATATACGGTCTGTCACGTAATGCATGTACATTTTATTCTTTAGGGCTTCAGATACAAGATGCGATCTGTATATGCCCATTTCCCCATTAACGTGGTGATGCAGGAGAACGGCTCTCTGGTGGAGATCAGAAACTTCTTGGGAGAGAAGTACATCCGCCGTGTCCGCATGAGGACAGGTATGTGTGCAGGCTTTGTCTAAATTAACGTAATGTCTGTTTACACATTCCTGGTTACACTGATGCAAAATGTGTTTGTTTTTGGCTAGGTGTGTCATGCGCAGTGTCTGCCGCTCAAAAAGACGAGCTGGTTCTGGAGGGTAATGACATTGAGCTGGTGTCAAACTCAGGTGAGATGTACATTGCCAACCTTCACTGACATTGAGTGGTTCACACAGGACTTTAAACCGTCTACAAACTTCTTAACATTGTTAATGTGATTTAAAATTGTGCTTGTGCCGAGCAAGTTAAGACAATTTGGATTCAGTTGGAGGTTCTTTAGTTGCTATTTTAGTTAACGCCAGTATTATGCACAATATCTTTGTGCTTTATCTTGAGTAATCAAAAGTGACTCTGCCTTTCTTTGCTGTAAAGTCACTTGCCCTAAAATGGATTTCAAATGACTATTCGTCCTTAACTAGACTGGTTGTGGAAGCCCATAAGTCTAAGCCTAAACCGAACCCTCCCTCACCTTGTCTGTGTTAACTTGCAGGTCATGATGATGTATTTAGACTGTTTAAAATTTTTTTAGCCTCCTTTCCCCCTTCTGACATTCTTAACCCTTGGTTGCATAACCTTGAGTGATTGAATAAACTGTGATTGATTGGGTTGTGATGCCTTTGAACTTGAACACCTCAAAAACAGTCCAAATTTCATCAATAGGCATCCATTTGCCAGTTTATCAACATTTAATTCCCAAAAGCGTTTTTTTTCCTTTCCTTTTCTTTTTTTTTTGAGACGCATAGATATAACTTTATTTCCCTAACCTAACATATTTTATGTACCATTAATTAGTTTAATGATGTGCAGATGAAATACAGAAAGTCTTAATTGGTGTGACTGGTACATTTCAACAGGGAACCGAGATATTTGCACCAAATCAAATTGTGCAGGTCAAAGATTTTGTTACATTTCTATAGTTGGTTTTAAAAAAATAAAGTTAAAATTGGATTTGTTTGCCGGTCCGTTAATATGGTGGAAAGCCGTGTAATTGCTGTAATTGTATTTTTCTCATACATTTATGGATACTTAAATTCCAGAACAAAATGTTTAGAGAAAACTCTAAAATTGTCAAAATTATTGCCGATTATAAAAAGAACAAGATTAAAATAACTAAATAAAAATGGGATTAAAATAAGAAACCGCACAGTGTCATAATGAATAGAAAACATTTAATTAACTTAATAGAAATTGAATATTTTACAAATTACATTTAGACATTAATAATATTTTTTCACAGTAAAATGGGTCTTTATACAGTGAACCATATAGATACCTATACATTTATATGTGAATATATACATTTTTAGGATGAGGGTCCCTCGCACGAGGATGAAACGACATAAGAGACTATATTTCAAGTTTTTATCTTTACAGAAAGCAAAGTTATTTTTTTTAATTATTAAGGATTCGTTTGAATCTGCTAATAACATTTGACAATATATCTTATGTATATAATCATATGTGATGCCTCTTTGATTTAGTTCTTTGCAGCTAAATTATGATTTTCAACTGATTTCTTACAGTGCACATCAGAATTCCAGTAACAGCTGCGGTTATAGATCTAACATCATTATAATTATATTTTTATTTATGGGACCCAGGCATAGGCTTATATTAGATTGCACTTCTCTGAGACACTACATGCCACAGTTTAAAGTCTGGATGTCCTGTTCGGAGCACATTCAGGGCTTTTTAGGCTTGATCATAAACACTTTCTCCTTGGTCTTTAAATATGACTGATATTGACAGAATGATCAAATTTAGCACTCTTAGGAAAACATGATGATATTTTGTAAATCTGGCTAATTTTTGGTATTGTCGTAAATAAACATCTCAGAAAAATGTGATGGGGTTTCAAATCGGAATATTAATTTTTGTTATGAAACGGCATCATTTTCATACATGTCTTCTGTAGAGGACACCGGGACAAACATCATGTTAATCAGGCATTCAATTATAATAGATCTATATTCCTATGAAATATGAGATATTCTTATGAAAAATTTGCCAAGTTATTACTCCCATTATTACACTTCTTTTTTTTTTTCATTATGGTTTGCCCCAAGAACACATTAATATGCAAATTAGATGCAATGTATAGCTACATAGCTATATAGAATGGGAATACCAGTTTATGGACATTTTGCATAAAGTTCAGTAGTATATCAAATCATACTGTTATATTTTTAACATAGTTGAGAATCATCTTTGTACAAAGTGATTGGTGAATGAAAAAAATAATTAATTGTTTTTGCCTATGCATGCCTTATAATGTCAATTTTTTTCTGAATAACTTACTCATGTGTATATATATATATATATTGCATAATTTAGGCCTGGCCTCCTCTACATAGGTCATAAAATATGAATAAAATAAAATATGAATAAAATGTTTTTTCTACATTTGTTTCCTATGCTCCAACCAATGTAATGACATATTAAAAAAAACAAAATCTAAAATTTTTTTTTTATGGTTCTCAGGATTATATAATTTTACAGCGTCTCAATCTGAAGCTGCTCCGCGCGTCATCACTCTGCGCCTGAGTCGAGCATCGTTGGCGCCAAAGAGAATCGGAGAGTGTCGCGCAATTTGTCAAAAAAAATAAAGAAACGCTTTTGTCGCATGCTCAGAAATGGTGAGTCGGCTTATTAATGCTCCGTGTGTAGAATTTTTTTTTTTCTTAGGCTCGGGTGGACTCTGTCTCCCCATCTAAGAGCAGCGCCAGTACCTCAGACACCAAACCCAAAAAGGACCCGTCCCCTAAAAAAAGTCCTGTGAAGACCAGCTCCAAACTGGCTCAGATGAAAAGGCAACAGGAAGAAGAGGAAGAGCAAAGGAAGAAAAACAGGGGTGAAAAACAAATGAAGATTTCTCCTAAGAAAGAGCCCATCTCTCCAACTCGCTCAGAGCGAGCAGCTACGCCCAAAACTGCAAGCGTTTCCACAGGAATGACAAAATCAAGGAATTTTTCCACCCCTAAAAGTGACGATGCACCCAGTAAAAACTCACCAACAAAACCAGAGGTATATCATTCGCGTATGTTATATATTAATTTAGGAGTTAATATGTCAGTGTAATATTTTTAATTGTGTTGTTTAAGGGTATAAGTTAAACGAGAGCACAAAATATTTGGTTTAATTTGTTTATATAATGCTTTTCACAATGTATGTTGTTTCAAAGCGAATTTACAAAAAAATATCAAAATAGGGCATTACGCTATTTTGCTCAGCAAGTGAGCAAACCAAAAGCTTCTCTGTCATTTCAGAATAAAAGTCCTGAGGACCTAGAGAAAAAACGGCCAAATTCATCAGCCTTCCGTAACTATTTGAACAGAGAAGGACCACGAGCTCTGGGGTCTAAAGATATCCCGCAGGTAAAAACACCTCAACGACTCGAAAGGCCTATCGTCTCGTTGCTGTTTATGATTGTCTTTAAGGAATCAAATTATACTCGTCCTTTAAACTGCTTGGACAATGTTCTGTGTGTGTTTTAGGGAGCAGAGAACTGCCTGGAGGGTTGTGTGTTTGTGTTGACCGGTGTGTTAGAGTCTATGGAGAGGGATGATGCTAAGTCACTAATAGAGCGATATGGCGGGAAAGTCACAGGAAACGTCAGCCGTAAAACCACTTACCTTGTTCTGGGACGAGACAGCGGGGCCTCAAAGATTGAGAAGGTCCTAATTTTCATTATTTTTCTCAGCATGTCATTATTTCTCTTTATTCAAACATGAGTGTCGCTTAACCATGTTTATTTTTAATTTACCCTTTTAATTTAATTAAATGTAGTTTTTGTAACATAATGTGTTAAATGTTTATTCCTTAGGCGGAGAGTTTTGGTACTAAGATCATAAATGAAGATGAGTTGTTGAACCTCATAAGAACCAAACCAGGCAAGAAGTCTAAATACGAGATTGCGGCGGAGGCAGAGGTAAAGCAGCTCCCATCAACTCTCCTGATCTTTTTTTTCCCCCCTCAATTAATCGTTCAGCCCTATTTTAATGTTGCATTAAGTTGAATTAATTATTAGCTTTTCATCTACTTTAAAAACCCCAATTTGGGAAACCCCGGTTTCATTTTTAAAGATGAAGAAATTATGATATTTAGAATTTTGGAATTTTACAGTGTACTATAAAATAAAATTATTTTATTAAATGCTTAATTTATTATTTTATTGTAGAAGTACTGTATAGTATTTAGGGTTGCAAAGGGGTGAAACATTTACGGTAAATTTCCAGAAACATTCCAAAAATCCCTTGAGGATTCCAAAAAAAAATCCTGGAAAGTTTCCTAAATTTCTGGAATGTTTCCGAAATTTACTGGAAATGTTCCACCTTTTTGCAACCCTAATAGTATTATTGCAATATATTTCTTATTTTATTTAATATTTTTATTCAATAATAATCACAATAAAATAAATCATATTTGATTCAAAAACAGTGGGAATTTGAAGTTTATGTTGAGTCTTGTAATACCCATACTCCCATTCTGAAAACCCAAGTTTTCCCCAAAATGTTCAGTCCTAAAAGAGTGGTTCGTACACAACAAAGGCTTCAGTGTAAAACCATTCTGCATTTTTTCATATTGAAATATAAATAGCAGAAAAACGATTGTACATACAAAATATGTCAATTTTTTGGAATTTGATTCATTTGACAAACTCTGTCTATTTTCCATATCACAGAATAAATCCTCTAAAGCAAGGACTCCAGACTCTAGAGACAAACACACTCCTCCATCCAAGAAGGCCACACCACAAGCGCCCAGCCCCAACAAGAGAAGCCCTTCAGAGGGGAAGTCTAAGCCTGGCTCTGCTTCTAAATCTGGAACACTTGGCGCCTCTCATTCAGAGGTCGAAAAGAGTTTGAGCTTTGATCGAACCAAGAGAGCATCCCCTGTATCCCACTCTATCCCTGAGAATGAGGGGAGCAGCCTGTTGTGGGTGGATAAGTACCGCCCCCGTAGTCTGAAGAACCTGATTGGGCAGCAGGGGGATCAGAGTTGTGCTAACAAGCTTCTACGTTGGTTACAGAACTGGCATAAACATCACAGCGGCAGTACAAAAGCACCATGTCAGTATTTAAAGTTTGCTCCTACTGTTTGTTGGCAGGCAGTGGATGTTTGAATAGTTGACACATGATCATCGACTTCAAGATTTTAGCTTAAAAATATGGATTAGTGAATGTGTATATTATTTTTAGTCATGTTTTGGTTTGGCACATTTTTTTTTCTGCACTAGTTAATTTAAAATTGTCGTAGAGTATGACTAGTGCTTTTTTAAAAGTACTGTTTTTCCATATAGTCTCATTTAATATGATGTAATTGTATAAGAATTAGAAATGTTGTTTATGATGGGTTTGGAATGGCATACTACCATTATGCATCAATGACCTGCTACATTTTCCAAAGCATATATTATATATAACCAGAGTACAACGTTTCCCATAATGCAGTGCACTTGACTTGACCATAAGCATATGCACCAGATTTGACTCTTTGCAGGAGCCCGTCTTTTATTTTTAATGGTGCTTACTGTTTCACATACAATGTTTTACTTGCTAGCATGTGATTAGTAGTATATACTGTGTAGTATGCATACTAGTATGCCATTCCGACTATACTCGATGTGTTTTTTCTAATGCACTCTGGAGGCTAAAATTCCATTTAACTAGTTTTCATTGTTTTTGGGAAGCAGCCAAATTCGGTAAGTTTGGGAGTAAAGATGACGGTTCTGGATTTAAGGCTGCATTGTTGTCTGGGCCTCCTGGTGTTGGGAAGACCACTACTGCTGCTCTCGTCTGTGAGGTCAGTTCATTCTTACTCATATTTATATATAACTTAACATTTTGTTTGACTATGTTTAACTTTGTTTAAAGTGTTTAACATGGGATCCAGGATTAAATCATTAGTGAATGATTGTAAACATGGCGTGTCTGTTTTTAAAGTTTCACTGCATGGTTAATGCATTAATAGAGTTCCATATGTGCTTGTAGGAGTTGGGTTACAGCTACGTGGAGATGAATGCGAGCTGCACCCGCAGTAAGAACAGCTTGAAGGAAGTGATCGCAGAGTCACTCAACAACACCAGCATTAAGAACTTCTATACTGGTAATTAATAGCTAATTAATCAGGTAATCAGGCTTGGAGTTAAACTTCGGTGATTATAATGTAATCACTGTACGTTTCTGTGTTTAATGGCGTCAGGTGCATCTCAGACGGTGAGCAGTAAACATGTCCTCATAATGGACGAGGTGGACGGGATGGCAGGAAATGAAGACAGAGGAGGAATACAGGTAGACATTCAATTGCATTGTTGCTCTTTACCAGAGGTGGTGCTCAAGGTGCAAAAATGGACTAGATGGTGTTTAAAAATCCTTATGGGTTCTTTAGCTGTGTGTGCAATGGAGCATTAGCTTAATGATTACTGAATACTGCACAGTATTTATTGTATACTGCTTACATTTTTAAAATATCATCGTGTGTAACAGTTGCCATTGTTCCACAATAAATGTTTCAAACAGTATTATGCTACATTTGTCACATGATCTCATCACATTGTCGACTGCAAGCTTCATTTTTCAGTGCAACACCTAAAATTCAATACATAACTGATGGATAGAACCTAGTCCTCGCCTTACTTTATTTTTATTTATTGATAATCCTTTACACTTAATGTAAACACTAAATCTCAGTTCTATTTTCATTTAATTCAGAGAGTACAGTCATGGTTATTTTGGGTAATAGAAGGTCAAGTCATTGCAAGGGGGGATGCAATACGCTCTGTTGTATACTGTTTATTCTGAGCAAATTCTGTGCATAGAGTACATGTACATACTTTGTGCAATATGTAGACTACAAGCCATTAAATGCGTGCCATTAAACTGGTACATGTGCACAGCAGTGTTTCCTGTGTCACTGTGGTTCTTGACTCTTGCCCTTTGACCCACTCAGGAGATGATTGGTCTGATAAAACAGTCTAAGATTCCCATCATCTGCATGTGCAATGACCGCAATCATCAGAAGATCCGCTCGCTGGCCAACTACTGCTACGACCTGAGGTTTCAGAGACCCCGCGTTGAGCAGATCAAGGTGCTCACTGACATTTGACAAGATTGTCCCATTAAATCAGTGTTTTATATAAAAGACATCACTTTAATATTTTTGGCAGCAATGTGTTCACATGATCGGTGTCACATATGCTTCTCTACTTAGTGACCAAGAAATAGAGTGCAGAACTTTACTTTGTTTTTGTTTTTTTGACACATTTATTTCCAGGTTTAAAAATCCTAGGTTTTATTTTGTAGTAATAACAGTAAATTGTGCATAATTACAAAGCCTAAATCTAACCCAAACTGTATATATTTTTGTTTAATTACATTGTAACAAAGACACCTTAACATAAGCCATGAGAAAAAAAAATGTGACCCTGGACCACAAACCCAGTCATAAGGGTACATTTGTTTTAATTGATATTTATACATCATCTAAAAGTTGAATAAATAAGCTTCCCATTAATGTATGGTTTGTTAGGATCGGACAATATTTGGCCGAGATACAACTATTTGAAAATCTGGAATCTGAGGGTGCAAAAAAAATCTAAATATTGAGAATCATTGTTTTTAATTAAAATAATATCACTCATTACCTAACTGTATAATTACACTGTAACAAGAGCACCTTAAAATAAAGTGTAACCCAATCTTCAATGAAAGTTGCCATTGTTCTTCAAAGAACTTTCTTTGTTTTAGCAAAGAAACGAATAATTACACATTGCATAAAACAAATGGCAGGTCTATTGGTTTGCATAATGTACAGATGTATTTTGACACACAAAATTGACTTTTGACTGATAAAAATTAGCTTGTCCTTAGAAAAAAAAAAAGTTAACTTTTAAAATGATCACAATTTACACAATTTTCCCTGATTTTGTCATCAGCAAAATTATTGCAATAATATCTTTAATATTCAATGTATTGACCAGCCCTAATGCGCAATAACATTTGCATCTTGTAATTTGTGCACCATGTATTTATTTAATAAGTCTGTTCTAACTGCAGATGAAAGCATGATGGTATAATTGCACCATTTGATGTTTCTCAGGGGAAATCTGAAGAATCATTTGGTGTTGTTGAGTAAAACAGCGGACAGCATTTGCGATGGAGATTTAGTGGACAAACGGATCCGCTCCAGACAGGCATGGTCTCTGCTTCCCACACAGGTGACACGCTTTCCTGCCATTATCTTCTCATCAGTGTTGACCAACAAATCCTCAGTCAACAGTAGGGCTGCAGTTAATCGAATTTCGAAACGAGATTACAAAGCTGCAATTACTACCAAAAAAAACAAGTCTACTTACATTTTCCTGCATACTTAAGATTTGTGTTTTTTTTTCCCCACTCTATAGGTTTATCCGAAGGGATTTTTCCCCATTGTTTTAATTTTAGTTTTAGTATAGCATTATAATACAGAGCATATTTTTACTTTTTTATGTAAAGAAGAAACCAAACCAATGTATAGTTGACATTTGAGGCTTAATGCTATAGAAAAGCAATAAAAGTTTTCAGTTAGTGTTTTCAGCTTATTTTCATATGAAATATGGCATGCAGTTGCTTCAAACAATGGTGTATAGCTATTGAAAACATCATTCAATGTAAATTGTGATAATAGTTATTAATAATCGCAATTATAATTTCTAGGGAATAATCGACAATTATGATTTTTGTCATAATCGTGCAGCCCTAGTCATCAGCTTTGATTGCTGCAGCAGCACTGAGATAATCAGGCCCTGAAGTGGCCATTTTCAAAATGACATTTTTGACACAGAAACAAAAACTGATTTGTAACATATTACAAAATCTGTTCACATAGGTCAACTATTTTTCATAGATCAGTGAAAACAAGCCAAGGTATTACATAAATGTGACCCTGGACCACAAACCCAGTCATAAGGGTCAAATTGAATAAATACGCTTTCCATTGATGTATGGTTTGTTAGGATAGGACAATATTTGGCCGAGATGCAACTATTTGAAAATCTGGAATCTGAGGGTGCAAAAAAAATCTAAATATTGAGAAAATTGCCTTTAAAGTTGTCCAAATGAAGTTCTTAGCAATGCATATTACTAATGATAATACATTTTTGATATATTTACGGTAAGAAGTTTACAAAATATATTCTTGGAACATGATCTTTACTTAATATCCTAATGATTTTTGGCATAAAAAAAAAATCTTATTTTTGGCTATTGCTACAAATTTACCCGTGCTACTTATGAATCTTTTTTTTTCTCCCAGGCGATTTATGCGAGCGTGTTGCCGGGGGAACTGATGCGGGGTTATATGAGTCAGTTTCCGACCTTTCCCAGCTGGTTGGGCAAGTTCTCATCAGCTGGCAAACACAGCCGCATCATACAGGAGCTCGCGTCGCACATGAGCCTAAAGTGAGAAACGCACATAAACACTTTGTTCTCACACTCCCTTCCTCCGTGTCTGACGTATGAAGTCTTTCAACCACATTTATGCTTCCTTAAAATCTTTCCTCTTTCTCACCCTGCAGGACGTTAAGCAGCAAGGAAGCAATAAATCTGGATTACCTGCCGTATTTGCGCTCAGCAGTATTAGAGCCTCTTCAGTCGCAGGGTTCAGAGGGAGCCAATCAGAGCGTGCAGCTCATGGATGATTATGACCTTATCAAAGAGGATGTTGATAACATGATGGAGATCAGCACGTGGGGCGGACAGCCGGATCCTTACTCTAAACTGGACTCCAAGGTGTGTGTGTGTGTGAAGAAACCGGTGGTCCGGTTGACAGTTCATTGCTTTGAAAGATGCCTGCTCAGTCTCAGTTAATTGTGTTTTAACTGTAAAACATCTGGAGGTGCTGTAGGCCACACTTTATCCCCATCAGCTGTTTTTTCCTTTCTGCAGGTGAAAGCTGCGTTTACAAGAGCCTACAATAAGGAATCCCATCTTACGCCGTACTCTTTACAAGTGGTTAAGAAAAGCCGTAAAGGTGCTGTTGACCCTGAGCTTATAGGAGAGCTTGACGGTGAATCTCAGTTTCCGGAAGAGGAAGAAGACAATGGGGTTACCGCAGATGCAATGATAAAGGTAGATATCAAAATAGCAATTCAGCAGCCTTCGTTTCGACTGTCCTTGTTTTACAATCATGTCGACCTCAATAACATCTCATTTGTTCACCCAGAAATGTAAATTCTGTCGTCAGTTACTCACCTACATGTTGTTTTAAACACATAATAATTTTCATCGTCGAAACACAAATGAAGATACGTTTAACCTTCTGGTGTCGTTTGGTCTTTTTTTTTAACTGAAATATTATAATTTTTTTTTTACTTCATCAGAATGGTACGAAACTTGGAAAAGGTTTTGGCACAGACATGACATGATTAGAAAAGGTTAAACAGTCCTGAGAAATATAGTCATACTTGTATTGTTGGAAAAGAATAGGAAGCGAGTTTCATCTAGTGGAGACGTTTGGTACTGCGCCCAAACAAAATCTTACTCAAAGCTCATTTTTTGAGATATCAACCTCAAATTTGGAAAACAACTTGTTTAGATTTATGGCTTTGATTTTCTTGCAGTTTTAGAGTAAACATGTTTTGGCAAATATAGATTTCATATAACATTAAGTATTTTTGTGCATTTTTCACAACTTTTAAGTTTCACTTTTTTATTTTTTAACTTCAGTAATAATCTGTAAAGTAAAGTTTCTTCTTTAAAATAGGCCAAAAGTCTGTGCTCCAGAGCATTCTAGATTTACGACAGTTTAAGTTGGAAATTTAATTTTTAGGTCTATGCTTAAAAAGTGGTTAACGGGTAATGAATGGATCATGACTATTCCATAAATATAATTTAGTACCATAAAACCCCTTTTTGTAAAAAGATACAAATTGTTAAATTAAAAAAAATTGTCAAACGTAAAATACAGTACGTTCATTTTAATGAAATAAAAAGGTCATTTTTGACCACCACACAAACAACACCAGAGGGTTAATGAAACTTAAGAGATTTCTGTCCCTCCATCAAAAGTCAAAATGTTAAATAAATAGTGCACCCAAACCTGTGGTTTCCTTTTTTTTTTTTTTAAAGAATTATTACTTTTTTCCATACAGTTGCAAAGAATGGAGACTCCAGCTTTTAGCCATATAGGCCTAAGTTCGATAAAAGTTGTTCAAATGCCTCATGCTCTATATTGCAAATCTTCTGAAGCCACTGTGACCGGTTCACCAAGCCAGTGAGTTGAGAAACAGATCGGTTTCTTAAAGACATGGCTTCAAAAGAGTCATAATGGCTACTTTTATAATTTTGCATTATTTTTGAAGCTTGAAATCTTCAGTCCCTGTTTTTAATTGAAAAAGTGAAAGCTTGGAACAACATGAGGTGGAGTAAATGACAACCTTTTTTATTTTGGTGTGAACTATCCCTTTAAACACTTATAGTTTTGCTGTAAAGTTTGTATTAGAATCTAAACCCACTGAATTCATACGGCCATCATTTTAAATCTACACGTATCCATTTGTGACATGCACGCTTGTTTATTAAATATTTTGGCCAGTTTGATTATGCTGTTGCATGTATGAATTCATTTCTGCAGAATTCCATATTTTGCCCCTAAATCAGCATAGAAAATGCAGATACGGTCTGTACATTCACTTAGGTCCTACATATAGGCAGAATTTCATAAAAAAATCATTCACAGTGCTACACCATTATTCACCTGATTTCTGTTTTTTCATTCTCACAGCAGAAGAAAGCCAAACCAGCAAAAGACGTCAAGCAAGAGAAACAAGGGGCTTCTGGGAAGGGGAAAGGCAGGGGTAAAGGAAAGGGGAAGGCAGTGAACTTGAGATAAACATGGAAGGGAACGAGACAGAAATCCCTGCTCCCTCTCTCTCTCTCTGTTTTCACAAAGATGTGAGCGGCTGAGTGACATCAGCTCTATAAACAGAACTTTTTTGTCTGCGAGTCATACTTGTGCACTTCCTGAAAGCCATCACTCAGCTTAAGCTGCTTTCAGCAGAGCGGACACCGCAGGGACCAGCAGCTGGGGGTGGACCACACATTTACACACAAGTTATTATATAGTTCACAATTCATCAAGCGGATCAGACTTAACACATGCATCATACTGTTAACACATGGTGTTAAAGCTATGTTCATCTCAAAGGTAAACAGAATTAAGGGCACTTAATGTGAAGAGGCTCACTGTACTCGTGACAAAGTACATGAGCATTTTAATGTATTGGCTTCAGTTGTTTATAGTTAAACACATACACACTGCCACTAAAGACATGGATGACAACTGTACTTGCTGCATGTCAGCAAGCGACCACACGCGATGTAAATATGCATCTGCTACATACAGAATTAAGGGCACTTAATGTGAAGAGGCTCACTGTACTCGTGACAAAGTACATGAGCATTTTAATGTATTGGCTTCAGTTGTTTATAGTTAAACACATACACACTGCCACTAAAGACATGGATGACAACTGTACTTGCTGCATGTCAGCTAGCGACCACACGTGATGTAAATATGCATCTGCCACATTAGCTTTTTTGCTACTTTGAATACTTGCAGATATATATATATATATAAAGAATCCCTTTCTTAGTGTTTTCTACGGCAGTACTTTTGGATACAGAATGATAGTGTCTGATATTAGCCTGAAGATTATTCTGTAAATGACTAAATGTGTGCGATTTGAAAATTAAAACGAGAATTATGTCATAGAGATGTATTGTGTTTGCTGCTTATAATTACCTCCATGGCTCATTCTGCTTGATGATGCAGATCAGAAGAATTGATCAGATGGTGGCGAACCAGAATGGTAAAAAACAGCTCAATTATACTGTAATTGCTGTTATATATAAGGGTAAACAACTCACTACATAGCTCTAGGTTTTTAAAAAAGTTTTCATAATTGCAGTATTGCACTTTTAGCACTTAATTTGTAGTCTAACATGAAGACTTTAATAGTTATTTACTGCAATGAAATAATTTTTGTATACAGGTACATTTACAGTAGAAAAAGAAAAATCTATGAGCTGATGAATATTGATTGTCATTCTAATAGACGCATATAATGCCTCTCACAACATATACAGACATAATAATTAATACAGATATAATTGGGTTAGTCAGAAAATGTTCCTATATATTAGTCTTGCGCTTTGCACGATTTATGACAACCTAAATGTGTAACTGAACCACACTTCTAAATAATTATGCATAATTTGAGCTCTCAGTAGTAGCTAATATATATAAATTCAATAAAATCAATATTTATTGTGGGGAAAAAGAGGAAAGTGTTTCTGAGTTATATTTAGATTTAATTGAATGCATTAATATTAATAATGATCATTTAAGTAGTTTGAAGTCATCCTGCAGTCCCTTTGGTTGAGAACCACTGGTTTAGCACTAGTCTCTATTGGCGTCTCCCACTTTTACACATTACTTTTGCAATTAGAAAAGAGTACATTTTGGGAGTTTTTTTGCGTTTTGATAAATACAGCTTGTAGGATCTCCATCTGTGTCTGACGATCTGCTCCTTGAGGTCTATGCAAACCATCTGGACAGGACGGTGACATTATCAGCATGTTGGTGGTGTTTTTGAGAGTACTTGTAGAGTGACCGTCCCGCTGGTTTGTCTAAGGAGCTGGACAGCTTCAGAATGAGTGACACCCTGCAGACTCTGTCCGTTTACTTTCAGCAGCTGATCACCGTGACGCAGACGCCTGTCCTCCACCGCAGCTCCCTGTGGGAACAGAGCACTGTCACATACACAAACAGCATTGCTGTTTCTCAGTCAGATGACTGCTTGTTGGGGTGTGTTCATGCTACGATTCATGCAAACTGAACCGAGTGTTTGGACACGTATTGATCTCTGTGGTGCACTGCAGCCAAGAGAGTGACTTAACTCACAGTTTTTTAGCTTCAGTGTCTTTCTTGTGTACCTTGGGAAATATGCTCTTGACATAGATTGGCAAGTCACCATGGGAACTGCCAAATCCTCCTATAATACTGAAGCCAAGCCCAGCAGCACCGCGTTCAAGAGTGATAGTCTGGAACTGAGAACTTCAACACAAAAGACAAATAGAACTTAACTCACCCTATTGGCAAACAGGGCAACGAGTAATCTCTTAATACAGTTAGAAAAATGAAAACAGCAAGCATAACACTTCTATTGAACAGGGAGTCTGAATGGTCTGCGTGCCTTGGAGAAGTCCTTTATCAGAGCTCTAGTGTGTAGAGTTTTGCTGACTCTAACGCCTCTACAGAACTGCATACGCAAAAAATGCACTTTTAATATATTTCATGGACTCATTGAAAGCAACGTTGTATGGAAGCCTGTTTCCAACACTGAATAAAAAATAAAAAAGGTAATTATTATTATCTCACAATTTGGACTTTTTCCTCGCAATTACAAGTTTACATTTCGCAGTTCTTACTTTTTTCAGAAGTGTGAGACGTAAACTCACAAATGCAAGTTATAAAGTCAGAACTGTGTGATATAAAGTTGCAATTGCGTGTTATAAAGTCATATAAAGGTATAAACTCAATTCTGACTTTTTTTCTTCGCAATTGCGAGTTATAAAGTCAGAATTGTGAGATGCAATAAACAATAAACTTGCAATTGTAAGAAAAGTCCTTAGAATTTGACTCTATAACTCGCAATTGTGAGTTTGGTAACACTTTAGAGTAGGGAACACATTCACTATTAACAGAGTTTTCCCTCGATAAACTGCTAATTAGCTGCTTATTAATAGTTAGTAAGGTAGTTGTTAAGTTTAGGTATTGGGTGGGTTAAGGGATCTAGAACATGGTCATGCAGAATATGTGCTTTATAAGTACTAATAAACAGCCAATATGCTAGTCATACGCATGCTAATAAACAACTAGTTAATGGTGAGAATTGGACCTTAAAATAAAGTGTTACCGCAAGTTTTTTTCTCACAACTCAGAGAAAAGACGTCAGAATTGCGTGATATAAACTCACAATTGCAAGCAAAAAAGTCAGAATTGTGAATTGTTTATATCACGCAATTCTGACTTTGTAACACAGAAGTGATAAAAAAGTCAGAATTGTGAGACATAAAGTCCCAATTACTGTTTTTTTTTTTTCAGTGGTGGAAACAGGCTTCCATAGTGTTGGGATGAAACCAGAAATAAATCTAAAATGAAAGCATAAATCAGGACCTGAATTTTGTCCCGAGCGTCATAATTTTTGTTAAATGAAAATGAAAGCAAACTAAGAGACTGTTGGCAATTAAATAAAATTGGAGTTCTATACATATAATTATTGGGTGACTAAAGGTCATTTTGGGATTTTGCTTGCACTTCTAACTTTTATTGCTGTGATGCGCAGCTGAATTTTCAGCATCATTACTCCAGTCTTCAGTGTCACATGATCCTTCAGAAATCATTCTAATATGCTCAGTTCTGGTTATTATCAATCTTGAAAAACATAATACAATACAACCTTATTTTTTCATGAGATTTTTTCATAGGTATCTACTTCGGCACAGTTTGACAGTTTTTATGCATTATAATGAAATGATAAATATTCATTTGGAGTACCTCTGGTGGTTGTGGGTAGTGTGTCCTCCAGGTGAGGAGTGAATTAAAGATGCCTGATCTTTACTAGCTCCATCTGCACAGCCACTTGGCATCACCTTTAATCAAACACACAGACTGTGACATTCATGGAAAGACTGTGTGGAATGACTGAACATTTGATGATGTTTTGTATCTGAAATGATTTGATTCGTGTCTGAAGACACACACCTGCAGTGTGACGGCTCCGCTGCTGTTTCTCAGGACAGCACTTGCCTCAGTAACTGAGAGACGTTCTGTTGATGTACCGTTAATGCTGATGACACTGGCACCCAGCTGAAAATTCAATTCAGAGGTGATTATTTTTGAGGGTGTCGGGAAGCAACATTTTTGTAGTAGGAACTATTAGATATGTTAGATAAACTAGTATCTAATATAAAATGAATCTAGCACGAAAACTAGCTGGTTTTAAACACATTAAATTGCTGTATACATTTGTGAAAGTGGTGATTTTGGCCTCTCCCATCTTGACCAAACACGAAATGTAAAATCATTAAATTTCATAAATTCAAAAGATTATCCCAAAATGACTTACAGTTCATTGCAGTAAAAATATTTTGACCAAAAAAAAGAAAGAAAAAAGTTTTCTCAATTTTTACACAAATTTCAGTGTTCATAGAATTCATCCAGCTCAGCCATTCAACTCTGTTACCCAAATCATTGTACAAAAAAATCCAAATACATATATGTGTTTTCATTTATTGGTAATATAGTTCTATAAATAACTATAAAACAGTGTAGCCTTAAACTATATAGCTTTTACTGACTAGTAAAGGCTAAATAAACGGAAAATGTATGTGTACATGTATACACACACACACACACACACTACTGTTCAAAGTTTTGGCATCAATTACATTTTTTACATTTTACAGTATCTTAGTGTACTCTCTCAAGTGTGTGTGTGTGTGTTTTTAAAAGCAAAAATACAGTAAAAACCGTAATATTGTGACATTTTACAACTTAAAACAGCTGTTTTCTATTGTAATATATTTTAAAATGTAACTTTTTCAGGATTCTTTGACGCATAGAAAATTCAAAAGAACAACATTTATTTTAAAAAAGAGAAATATCTCTTTTTTAACATTATAAATGTCTTTACTGTTAATTTTGTATCCACGCAGGATGAAAGTATTAATTTCTTTCAAAAATCAAAAATCTTACTGACCACAACATTCTGAATGGTAGTGTACATACAGTTTGATGTATATTGTGAGGCTGACAATGATTATGTATTTATTTAATAGGACAGGCTATCGGCTCCATCATAAACATAATGAAAAAGGGGAAAGGCTTTCAGGTCCTGTATTATATTAAGCGTCGAGCATTCTCATTCTCTCTCTCTGTACCTGCAGAAGTCCTGCGCGCGCTGCGGATGTGGTCGGGTCCAGGTTGGAGATATAAATCATTCCATCTCCCTGTGTGCCTCTCAATCTCAACTCCACAGACTCACACTCATGCTGGGACAGAATCACACAACCGTACAGTTACTAGTGGATCATACAGTTACTGCAGAAACATGCCTTACATTACTGCTTTGAAAGTGCGTGTAAAACCAAACCCACCTTCTGAACGCTGACAGTTCTGATGTCCACGTTCCCATCCACAGCTGCGCAAAAAGATGAAAACATTGACTCACTGATGAATAGAACTGAATAGTGAATAATTGTGTGGTGTGACAGACACTCTTACAATCATATGCGCTGAAAGAGGAGAGAAGAGGGACGTCCAGCTCGCCCACCTGCAACAACACAGACAGAACACAGACTCACGAACACTGTTAGATCTGAGATGGATACCATTGAGACCATTTGTGTGCTGTAAATATACTGTATGTATGGTGTGTACAGTGTGCCAAGAGTTTTTCTCTATAATACACTACTGTTCAGAAGTTTGGGGTCAGCTTTTTTTACATCAAAATTACAGTAAACAGTCATGTTCTGAAATATTATTACACTTATATATTCAATATATTCTACACTGTAATTTATTTCTGATGCGCAGCTGTATTTTCAGCATCATTACTGCAGTCTTCAGTGTCACATGATCTTCAGAAATCAGTATAATATGCTGATTTGCTGCTCAAGAAACATTTCTGATTATTATCAATGTTGAAAACAGTTGTGCTGCTTTTATTTTGGCGGAAACTGTGATATAAACTGTGCAAGTTCAAAAGAACAACATTTATTTGAAAGAAATCTTATAAATGTCTTCACTGTCAATTTTGATCAATTTAATGCATACATGATGAATAAAAGTATTACTTTCTTTAAAAAAATCTTACTGACCCCATACGTTTGAACAGTAGTGTATCTAATACATGGTATAAAATATTAACCTCACAATTTTTAAAGATGGAAATCGATTTAGTTTTCTTTTATTCACAATTATAATTTTGCTACTTTCCCATGTGCTATGCATTCTAACTTCACAAAGTTACAAACTGTCAATTTATTAAGTTGTTCAGTTGTTTTATGTTTATGTTGTTTTAATTGCCAATCATTCTGTTTCAATTGGTCTTCAATTTTTTTCTTTTCTTAATGCTCTTTAACTATCAAAAGCTAGGTTCTGATATCATTTTTTGTGTTAGTTGTTCTCGCGCCAAATAATTCCACCTTGTTTGATAAATTTACAAGAATCTGATGTCATCCTGATGTCGGTCACTGAGCAATGGCTGATACATGGTATAAAATATTAACCTCACAATTTTTAAAGATGGAAATCGATTTAGTTTTCTTTTATTCACAATTATAATTTTGCTACTTTCCCATGTGCTATGCATTCTAACTTCACAAAGTTACAAACTGTCAATTTATTAAGTTGTTCAGTTGTTTTATGTTTATGTTGTTTTAATTGCCAATCATTCTGTTTCAATTGGTCTTCAATTTTTTTCTTTTCTTAATGCTCTTTAACTATCAAAAGCTAGGTTCTGATATCATTTTTTGTGTTAGTTGTTCTCGCGCCAAATAATTCCACCTTGTTTGATAAATTTACAAAAATCTGATAAAAAGAAAAAAAAAGGTTAAATATATCAAAATGAACTCTAAGTCGACATCCTGATGTCGGTCACTGAGCAATGGCTATTCTTTTGGGAGTCATTCTATTCATCTTTATGTGTAAATAATGGTCTGAACTTAACCAGAGCGTATTTTGAACCCTACATAAAAAAATATTTAAATGAATTATAACACATGCATATTTATTGTTTTGGATCACAAAGTTCAAAAGGTACTGCATAACAGGAATGATTCAGCGTTTACCTGATCTCCATATGAGTAGTGTGATGAAGCTTTAAAACGAGCCACCTCCAACAGCACAGGCCCACTACAGCTCTACAACACACACACACACACACACGAGGTGAGGAGCACAATTAGCCCTATTATGATTATGAAAGAAATGCATTAATTACTGTATTCCTGAGATGCGTAATGTTTTGCATGTTGTGTGCATGTTGTGTGTGTAGAGTTGGGAGAAACAGAGCAATATAGTTTCAGAAATTGTGTGTAAGCAGTTTTAAAAAGTTGAATTTGGTATGTTTACTGAGCAGTTTTCCTCACAGGAATGATTCACCGCTCCTCACAGTGAAGGTGATTCCAGGTTTGACTGTTTTTAGGAGACATTCGGTCCCCGTTATGTAGGTGCCACACACAAACATACTCCAGTAAGAGGCCTGCTCCTGCTCGCTGTGATGATGTGAACCCTCTTCTGGCAGCGGTGGTCTCTCTGGAACCCGCTGCACTCCATCTGTTTCTGTCTCGACTTGCCTAGAGGGCAGTTTCAGGAGTGGGGGAGCTACATGTGGAGGCTTCCCCAACGAGCCACCTCCAACAGCACAGGCCCACTACAGCTCTACAACACACACACACACACACACGAGGTGAGGAGCGCAATTAGCCCTATTATGATTATGAAAGAAATGCATTAATTACTGTATTCCCGTGTATTTGCGTGCACCTGCAGTAGCGCGCTTGCATCGTCCTGTGATGCAGCTCGCATGTCCTCTCCATTCACAGACAAAATCTGGTCACCTAGCAACAGTCTTCCATCCAAGTCTGCAGCCCCTCCCCTTGTTATCTCAGACACGAAGATTCCAGTGTCATTCCTGAAAGACATGCAGACAATTATGAATTCAGATGAATCATAAAACAGCTGTTTCTATGTATTATTCATGACCTATAGTGTGCAGTTCTGTAATGTAATTATATTCCTTGAGAATAACCCACCATTTACCCACAATGCGAAGCCCCAGTCCCTGTCCTGTTTTGAGGTTCAGTTCCACACTGAAGAGGTCCCACATGTCCTCGGGTGTGTGGTTCTGGAGGATGTGTGTGGAGTGGTTTTCTGTCCCAGGGACTCTGTAGATGCACAATCGCACACGCTGCGGACTCAAGCGCAGGACGCTCAAGGCCTCCTCATGAGTGGCCATCCTCAGATCAATGCCGTTCACCTGGAGGAGATAACAGTAATTACACTTAAGAGCTATTCAACGAACCTTGGACAGAAAAAGTAGATTCGATATTTCCCCAGATCAGTTGAATCTGTGCATAAATACTGTATGTGCACTGCACCCTGTTGATGTGAATCTAAGGCATAAGTTTACATTAATGATTGCTGCTCTGTGTATTTGATTGTACATACCTTGGGTCAATGGAAGTTCTTAGTAAACTAAACTACAACTTCACTGGTGAATGCTACACATCTGTACCTCTAGTATATGATCTCCAGCCCACAGCCGACCGTCTCTGTGTGCCGCACCATCCTTATTCACTTCATGAATCACTATTACGCCCTGACAAAGAAAGAAAGTAAGAAATTATATTATCAGCATGCAAGCAAAAAGTTGCACTGAAAGCAGTCATTCTTTAACGACTCAAGCTGGCATGAACCTAAAAATAGTGCAGAATCTAATAACTTTTCTTTCCTTTTAACTGTTTCAAAATCCCAAATCTTTGTTTATTTTTAAAGAGAGAATATTGTTTGAACTCCCATTTTGATTTCTGGTGATTGCAACATGTTACTTCAAAATATATTTTTAATTTAAAGGAATATTTTATAAGCTTTATCAAGCGCTCTCTCTGGCCTTCTGTCAAATACCACATAAACAAGTAATTTAGACTCATCCCTCAGTTCAAAAAGAGCAAAAACAGAAGGGTTTAGACGACTTTACAGATCAAATAATAAGCATTTTAGTAGTAAATAATTCAAAAAAAATAAAAATACAAACTTTATATTTCTAAACATATCCCATTCACTTCCACTGTAAATGAGTTTTGCTTTTGTTTAAGAGATGAGTTACTTCCTGCACTAGTTGACATTAAATATTTCTTTAAAGGGATAGTTCACTCAAAAATAGCTCACGTGACTTCTGATGTCACGTGAGCTACTTTCACAGTGAATTCCTATCGCTCAAACACTAAAGCAAAAGGTCATGGGTTCAATTCCCAGGCAATGCATGAACTGACTAAATGGATATCTTTAATGCAATGTAAGTTGCTTTGGATAAAATATTCTGGCAATGCATAAATGCTTTGTAATTTATTTATATCACAATTCACCTGCATTGTAAAGAAAGGACAACGTGAACATTCTGCTAAACCTCTCCTTGTGTGTTCCACGCAAGAAAGAAAATCAGGTTGGGAATGACATGAGAGTGAATAAATGATGATGTGATATTTTCATTTTTGGCTGGCTATCGCTACTACAGATAACATTGCTGTGGTATTTGATATTCAGGTTTGCATTCAAGTTGCCGTTTCGACACCATTAAGTCTACTATACATGTTTTTTTTTTTTTTACAATTCCTCACCAGCACTGTGTTGCAGCCTCCTACTATGCTGAGGCCGAGCCCCGCGGTGCCCTTGCAGATATCGATGGTATTTATACAGCCAGCTATGATTGGACTTGTTAGGGGGTCAGCACTCACAGAACCCTGGGCCAAGTAAGAAGTGCTGTGAGGCCCCGTGCTAGAGCTCTGATTGGCTGTGGGGCCGCAGTGGCTCCTGTCATCAGCTGATGAAACGCCAGATGATGGAGGCGTACAGTGGCTGGGAGACATGTGACTGGCAGGATGACAGGAGGGCTTATGATTGGATGTGGCATTGATTGGAGCAGGAAGACCAATGTTGAGGCTCTCTGAGGAACGAGACTTCAGTTTATCCTCTCTGCTGATCCTTCCATCCTTTCGACAAACAGAAACATGAGAACAAAGAGAATGAAGCAGGCAGATATTTTTTGTCTAACATTTGATTTGACAGTTTTACCTGCAATAATACTGAATGTTGACCTTCTCTGATCATGTTGATATGCATGGCTGGAGATACAACAGGACAGTTGTCCATCTAAACAGATAAAAGTGTTATTAGATGACGCAAGAGATTGAAGACATCATCCAGTAATGCAGACATGTGGTAAACGAAGATAAATTCATCAAAATAAAATAAAGAATAAAGAATAAAACAAAATATTAATGAACTTGGCATGAAATATGCAGCAAATATATTGTAATGAACTTTTTTTGGACAATGATTTAATTTGTTAATCAAGCATAGCTCTATAATTATTGTCTTTTTTTTACTGTTTTAAGAAGTTTTTTAGTTTATTTATTTAAGTGTGTGTGTGTGTGTGTGTCCATTGCCTCTTTTGCTGATCCTGTAGTCATCTGGTTCTGTGCAGCTTTATTCCTGATGAGAAAATGACATGTGTGCATCAAAATATGTGACACATCCACACTACACATACACTACACATAGATACATAGTAGGATATAAAGTCTGAGACCTTTAGTGAAAATGCTTCTAGGTTGATTTCAAATTATATGCAGTGTTTTCATTACAAATGATACATATCAGAATAAAAAAATGTAGTGAATTGACATTCTTTAATGACACCGTGCATTCAAGCTGGCATAGACCTAAAAGTAGTGCTGAATATCTTTCTTTGTTTTAAATATTTCAAAATCCGAAGTCTTTCTTGATTTCTGTTTCAAATTAAAAACAAATCATGCATTATATGCGATATGCATTGCAGTCTCAGATGTTTGCACTCCACGGTAATAAGCTATGTATATAAAGAGCATATTAAAATGCACGTAGAAGAGAGCTTGTGTTAATCTGCATTCATGTGAACATGTCTCACCTTGTGAGCAGAATCCTGACTTTAGCCGGAGCGTTGTTGATGATTGCTGTTGCGTTCTGGTGACTGCGTCCATACAGCACTTGTCCATTTATCTGCAAAATGCACACATGAACACGCTGAAGATTAACCCTTGACCTTTGATAAGACCCATATTTCACTGTGTTTTGCTCTTTTAGTTATACTGGGGAGACTGAGGGCAATTCTAACATTTTTACATGCAAATCTACATACCATCTTTTGATATAACATTCATTTTTGCCAAAATAAATGTAAAATTAATAGACTTTGAGAAATAGAACAACTTGATCATAATATCAAATATAATCTAAAAGTACTGTATGTTAATACAAAACATGCCAACACCTTGAACCTGCCAACACACACATTAAAAATACAATAAAAAAAAATCTATCAATCCATTGTGCTTCAAATAAGAGGCTTGAATTAAAAAGTAATACAAATGTCTTTATTTCTTGTTAATGATACTGAAAAGTTTTCCATTTTAAATGGGACTCATTCATAAAGCTGTCAGTTGTGTATTTAATTTGATAATGCATTTAATATATTTGACAATTATTTCACAATGATTCTAATGATCTGAAATAAAATTAATCATTTGCATTATATATGTATTCATATATTACTCAATATTTCTCTAATAAATACATTAATATTAGCTGTTGAGCACAACATTTAAACTAGGTAGTTTAATAAAAAAAAATTATATAATATAAAATGATATAATGTTGCATTACTGTTGTTACAATCATTATACAATCAAATTTCGTATAGCTGCCAGTGAGAGTATAAGCAATTGTTGTTTATGGCAACTTTTAAACAATAACCTAAAGAAAAAAAAAGGTAATAGTTTGAATTCGAAGGCATAGCAGATAGCAGAATAAAAATATCAGTCACCCCCCCAAAAAAACATCAAAATCAGTATTTGTTTAAACAATCACAATTCACCGATCTCTCGTTTTTCATTAGAAACTGAATGAGTCTGCTTTCTAATTATAACATATACAGCATAAAGTCTTGAATAATTGGACTTGCCAAATGAAATGAGTTCAGGAGGTCGTTCTCACCTCCAGTAGTTCATCTCCCACTCTGACCCGACCATCTGCGGCAGCAGCCCCGTCCGGTTTGATCTCGGACACGTACACACTCATTCTACCACGCGCTCCATCTCTGTTTCCAGACAAACACAATCCCAGTCCAGAGTCGTGAGAGCCACAGTCCAGATCAAACATGTGCAGCTCTCCAGGCAGACTGCCATACCTCTGCTGCATACGGCCTGCTCACACGGCTTCCCCAGCTTCCAGTCTTCTGTTCGCTACAACGGCACCAGAAAGAGTCCTTATATTATTTAATCAGTTCTCATTTAAAGTCTCTTCCATTGCATTTTTAGCGCTCAACAGTATGGTACAACACAGCTAAAATATGACGATCCAAAAAGATATATTCTTTTTATTAAATGCTAACTTCATTTGTGTAAAGAAACGTGGGAAAACAAAGTTTGTTTTCATTAAAATTCATTGCCTTTATTAATTTTTTGTCACCTCATGGATGAAAAAATTTGTTTTTACTGCTATTTACCCTCTTGCAACAGAAGTGTGCATAACTGTACTGAATGTGCAAATCTTAAAACTATTTTTTTTATTGTACTTGCAGATAATACGGTATAATATGAATTAAATAAAAGGCCACTTAAGTGTTAAGAGTACACTTTCACAACTATGCTTCTTAACACATTTAAGTGCACTTTAAAAAAAAAAGCACTTTGTAATGTTTTAATGTTATACATTAAAGTACACGTTTTAATAATGTTTTATGAATAGTGTTTAAGAATCTTTCTTCGTGCTTTAAAGAAGTACACTTATTTTGGTGTGTTGACTAACATACTAAACCATATGTACTGTACGTATATACTGTATATATATATATATGTGTGTGTGTTTAATATTTAATTATACATTTAAAGTGAATATGTTTTTAATATACTAATTTAATATACTAATTATACTAACTAATTGGCAAGTTTCCTTAGAAATTACATTAACGTATATAATAGAGAACCATAAATGTTTGTCTGTACATTCTGCAGGACACTTTAACCATATTTCAAAGACAAGAAATTATGAGAGAAAAGAGTATCTGCTGAAGAAAATAGTATCTACCATGTCATTGTGATCTTTTGGAACTATGGGCCGAGGAACTAAACTATAAAAGAAATTATAAAATGCACTCTACTGCATTTAATATAAATTTAAACTACATTAAATTGCAGTTAACATACAAATAAGTGTCATTACATTCAGTATATTATTTCAAAGCATATTATTATTATCCATAATAAGTACTCTTTTTAAAAGTATCCTAGAGTAGGCTAGTGTTCAGCGTGTAGAGAATATGTGTGGAGCTCATAAAATCTAATACTGGATTATTACTACGCAAACACACATTACATTACCTTAAAGGGGATGGGACTGAAGGGGTAGGTTGGGGAGAGATTATTGGGGATCTCGGGCTGCTAAAGATGAGATAAACTGTTATGTTAGCATATACATCACCTCAAAGACACGAATGATAAACACAATATCATAAGCAAGAACACACCTGATGATTTAGAGAATTTGATTTTGATGCATTGTCATCTTCAGGGCAGTTGTCAGGAGCTGAAAGCTGGACATAGAGAGGAAATAAATGTTTTATGTACTCATGCGTTGTCTTGTCTAGTGTATATTCTAGCACTGAGTATGTGTATTTGTAAAGTGGTTATGTGTGTGTGTGTGTGTGTGTGTGTGTGTGTGTGTGTGTGTGTGTGTGTGAGAGTGAGTGTGTGTGTGTGAGTGTGTGTGTGAGTGTGTGTGTGTGTGTGTGTGTATCTGTGTGTTACCTGAGGACTCTGCAGTAGTAGTTCGACTCTGTCTCCTGCTCTACGGATCGCCTCAACGGCTTCTTCATGAGTAAAATCACTCACATCTACACCTTGCACCTGCCAACACACATTAAAAATGTAATGTCTGAAGTTCTTTCTCAGAGTCGCTCATTTCTTTCAACACACTTCTGCTTTCCAAGTTAACCAGTTTGCCCCAGATTTTCTTTAAACTAATCTTGTTATCTAGTATATTTAGGTCAGAGGAGTGATGCATTAGTTTATTATGACCAGCAGATGGAGATCATCAGTGCTCATCAACACTAACTAGACTCAGCCTCGGGCCTTCTGATGTATATTTTACACAAAAATAGCAAGAGCCCATTAAAATCAACCATTCCAATCTGATTATATGTATTTTTTTCTCTCTTTCAAGTTGTTTCAAACCTGTATAACTTTCTCTGTGGAGCACAAAAGGTGATTTTTTGGCAAATAAATACATTTTTTAAAAATCTAATGTTACAACTCCTGCACTACATTGTTAGTCTTCTGAAATTATACAACCTTTGTCAACATGAACCTTTGTCCACTTTAGCATACTTTTAAAAAAGAGCACTTACTAAAGAAATTATATAAACAATAATATACTTATGTGCAAACTGAATGAAATGTTTTCGCACACTTAACTGCATGATAATTACAATTCACCACAAATGCACACTGAATTATATTTGTGTGCTCTTCTTTTTCACAAGGTTTATTAGCTTTCTCCTTTTATGATTTTTTTAGGATACTTTTGCATCCTTTTAAATGTGCAACAGCCCGAGTTCTCATTTTCCTTCATTATAGGAAGCAGAGTGATCATAAAAATTCTAAATGATAAAACTAAAATTATAAATGATAAAAAAATCACCTGTATGGCTCCAAAAAGTTAATTATACATTTAAAGTGAATATGTTTTTAATATACTAATTTAATATACTAATTATACTAACTAATTGGCAAGTTTCCTTAGAAATTACATTAACGTATATAATAGAGAACCATAAATGTTTGTCTGTACATTCTGCAGGACACTTTAACCATATTTCAAAGACAAGAAATTATGAGAGAAAAGAGTATCTGCTGAAGAAAATAGTATCTACCATGTCATTGTGATCTTTTGGAACTATGGGCCGAGGAACTAAACTATAAAAGAAATTATAAAATGCACTCTACTGCATTTAATATAAATTTAAACTACATTAAATTGCAGTTAACATACAAATAAGTGTCATTACATTCAGTATATTATTTCAAAGCATATTATTATTATCCATAATAAGTACTCTTTTTAAAAGTATCCTAAAGTAGGCTAGTGTTCAGCGTGTAGAGAATATGTGTGGAGCTCATAAAATCTAATACTGGATTATTACTACGCAAACACACATTACATTACCTTAAAGGGGATGGGACTGAAGGGGTAGGTTGGGGAGAGATTATTGGGGATCTCGGGCTGCTAAAGATGAGATAAACTGTTATGTTTTAAAAAAGAGCACTTACTAAAGAAATTATATAAACAATAATATACTTATGTGCAAACTGAATGAAATGTTTTCGCACACTTAACTGCATGATAATTACAATTCACCACAAATGCACACTGAATTATATTTGTGTGCTCTTCTTTTTCACAAGGTTTATTAGCTTTCTCCTTTTATGATTTTTTTAGGATACTTTTGCATCCTTTTAAATGTGCAACAGCCCGAGTTCTCATTTTCCTTCATTATAGGAAGCAGAGTGATCATAAAAATTCTAAATGATAAAACTAAAATTATAAATGATAAAAAAATCACCTGTATGGCTCCAAAAAGTCAAACCGGTTTGGAAAAAGGGTGAATTTTAATCACATTTGTTTGATCATAGGATTTGTCTTCGAGGTCCATGCCATCAAATCTTTATAGCAAGTAAACTAGATATTAATTATATTGCTTTACATACTGATTTGTGTTAACAGAAATACTACTAGTAATACCAACAAATTACACATACTTACAAGCAGTGCTGGGTAATAAATTATTACATTACAGATTCCAAAAATTACATACTTGTAATTAGAGTATATTACATTTTAAAATACTCATAATCAGATTACAGTTACTTTTGTTATGGATTACATGATTACATATTACAAACCATGCATCTAAAAGTAATCTAAAAAGTAGTCAGATTACATTACCTAAGTGAGTAACCTAGATTACGTTACTAACTACAGTTTTCTTCATGCAATCTGTAATCAGTTGCGGACTACAATTTCTAAGTAATCTATCCGGCTCTGATTGCAAGCAACTAACCCTAATCATAACCCTACAGTAAGTGCATGTTGTTAATCTATATTACTCAGTATTTAATTGTGTAATCACACATTAACAGGAGATTTTGGAGACTTTCTGATCACAATTATTTTCTGCCAGTGTCTGTACAAATATTGGTGGAGACTGCTGTCATTACTTGACCAAGTATTTTCAGCTTTTTTCTGTTATTGGAATTTCAGACAGTGTCTAAGTGTGCAGCTGTTGGCTACAATTAGCAATAAAAAGCACAGCAGACTTTACACCAATAGTTAAAACACACACACACACAAAAACACACACACACACACACGCACAGGTTTGTTTTTGTGAAAAGTGGGGACTCTCCATAGGTGTAATGGTTTTTATACTGTACAGACCGTACTGTATATTCTATTGCCCTACACCAACCCTACCCCTAAACCTACCCCTCACAGGAGACTTTCTGCTATTTCAGATTTTCAATACACTCCATTCTGTGTGATTTATAAGCGTTTTGAAAAGTGGGGACATGGGGTAATGTCCTGAAAAGTCACCTTCTCCTTCTAATACCTATGTTATACCTTTGTCATTATACAAATGTATGTCATCATTTGTCACAAAAACGCGCGCGCACACACACACACACACACACACACCTGAAGAATTCGGTCTCCTTCTTTCAGAGTGCTGTTGCATGCAGCTGGGCTGTCCTCTGCGATGTGTTTTATGAAGATGCCCCGTCTCATTTCTCCATCGCTGAGTCGACTGCCCATACCACGACCCCCCACCACACTGAAGCCAAGACACGTGGCCCCAGCCCTGAATAATGTGACTCTAGGACAAAAAACACAACCATATCACCATGAGCAATGTCGACTCTTAATGTTTTGTTAGTTTATGTGATACCTTCTAGGCTGACTCCATGAGCTACGATCCTTCCCGTGTGTTTCTTCTTCATCTTTTTTTTGTCTGTCTTTTCCTCTTTGTCCGTTCTCACTCTCCAAGACCGTTCTTTCATTCTTCACCTTTTTGTCTCTTTCCAGTCTTTCATCGCTCTCTCTTAGTCTTACTTGACTGTGGTTATCTGTTCTTTCATTCTCTTCTTCAGCTTGAATCTTTCCATTCACTCCTTTACCGTCCACTGTACTTTGTTGTTCAGAAATGCATTCTCTAACACAAAGCAAACATGCATTAGAACACCATCAGAAACAAGAAAACAAACAGACAAAAAGATTCCCAGACTCCTTACAGAGGTTTGAACGGCAGGTTCTGTGGGTGCTTGGGTTGGACGGTAGCTGTTCTGTGTGTTTCCATTTTCTCTTTTGATTGGCCATAGCTGGCTCTGTGCATGTCCAGGAAGGCAGCAGGTATATACGTCACGCTGGGACAAAAACACACAAGAACAAGCAAAAATGGGTTTGACTGTAATTGATGAAAAATCCAATTGAAATATGCTACTGGCTAAAACATCACTTTTTTGAGTTACGTTTTAGCAGACAAAATTCGTAAAGAATGCATGTAGTCAAATTTGAAAAATGTTAAATAGTCAACTAATGTTCAAAGCTTTGGGGTCAGCAAGATCTCTTTTAAAGTCATGAATGATGCGTTAAATTGATCAAAAGTAAAACATAATGTTACAAGAATTCTATTTTAAAATAAATGTTCTTTTATGAACTTTCTATTAATCAAAAAATCCTGAAAAAAGTATCACAGTTTTAACTATTAGGAAGCACACATTTTCAACATGGATAATAATCAGAAATGTTTCTCGAGCAGTAAATCAGTATATTATACTGATATCTGAAGATCATGTGACACTGAAGACTGGAGTAATGATGCTGAAAATACAGCTGCGCATCACAGAAATAAATTACATTTTTAAATATATTATATATAAATAGAACATATGTTAAATGATAATATTTCACAATAGTATGTTTTTTACTGTATTTTTGATCAAATAAATGCAGCCTTTTAACTTTGAAAAACATTTTTAAAAAACGTACGACCCCAATCTTTAGTAACAAATAAATCTAAATAATTACTTATAAATAAATAAATACAAACATTAATAAGTTTGTTTATTTGTTCATATATATCAACAAACTTATTTTGTGAAAATAAAAATACCACTTGCTTGAAATATTATAATAAATGTTATTGCAAATGGTTATCCTGTATTTATTTGCATTAAATATAAAAACAATGGAATTAGAAGTCAATGTTACGTTCCCATTTAGATAAAGCTTGGTTAGTGAGTATGTGTGTGTGTGTGTGTGTGTGCATGTGTGTGTGTGTGTGTGTGTGTGTGCATGTGTGCATGTGTGTGTGTGTACATGTGTGTGTGCATGTGTGTGTGTGTGTGCATGTGTGCATGTGTGTGTGTGTGTACATGTGTGTGTGTGTGTGTGTGCATGTGTGTGTGTGTGTGCATGTGTGCATGTGTGTGTGTGTACATGTGTGTGTGCATGTGGGTGTGTGTGTGCATGTGTGCATGTGTGTGTGTGTACATGTGTGTGTGCATGTGGGTGTGTGTGTGCATGTGTGCATGTGTGTGTGTGTACATGTGTGTGTGCATGTGGGTGTGTGTGTGCATGTGTGCATGTGTGTGTGTGTACATGTGTGTGTGCATGTGGGTGTGTGTGTGCATGTGTGCATGTGTGTGTGTGTATGTGTGTGTGTGTGTGTGCGTGCGTGTGTGTGTGTGTGTGTGTGTGCGTGTGTGTGTGTGTGCGTGTGTGCGTGTGTGTGTGTGTACGTGTGTGTGTGTGTGTGTGTGTGTGTGTGTGTGTGCGTGTGTGAACACCTGAGATCAGGTCCGATCAGTGAATGTCTGCGCAGCATAGCTCTGGCTTGTGCATTGGTCAGGTTGGTGGTGGATTCTTCATTGATAGCAACAATTCCATCCCCCACTGCCAGCCTCCCGTCTTTACTGATCGACCCGCCATGAACCACAGAGCGGATTATCATGCCTGAACCATCCCTTAAGGCACTCACTGTCATTCCTACACACACACACACACACACACATTGTGTCAAAGCAACTTTACAGTGTTAAACAGGAAACAGGGTATGCACTTAAGTAGATAAGAACATACAGGATATGTATGTACTTATGTATTTACTCAGGGTATGTAGTTATTTTGTCACAAGTTGTCATGTATTTTTAATCTGATATTTTTTACATCTTTGCTGTTTATTAATCGGTTTACTGTTTAAATTGTGCCAGAAAACCTATAATAAGGTTCCATTGTCACAAAGTACCCCATACAGTGTGAAAAGGTCAACATGAGTTCAATAAACAGTATCTTTTTTCTTGCTTTTTATGAAGCTTTTATCCCCCCTTGCTTTTTTGTAGCCAAGACTCTAAGATATGTGTCTGTACAGAAACAGGCTTTCAAAAATAAACCTACACCGACAAATATTCACTGAACTAAAAAGTGTGACAACTAGCCCCAGGCTCTCCCAACAGTGAATATTTTAAGTGTATTTATATTTAGTCATTTTTATTTAATCAAGATTGTCATAGCTATCAAAAGTGTGTATTAAAGTGTGGGTGTGACCAGTTCAACAGTGACCACATCAGACATTTCTACAAATGGAATATCATCTTTCGCTAACTGTAATTTACATACCCGTGAACCCCTTATTTGTCTGTCTTACCGAATCAAACTCTCTTATTCAAAGCTAATTATCTCTAAGTAACAATGAAAGTGTCAGCGCACCATGTAGAGTCAGTGCATTCGAGAGGGTCTTAAAACCCCTCACTCACCTTCATGGCATATTAAATGTTGGCTTTGACTCAGTGTTGTATTAAAATCACAGCGTGTGCCTTCAAACAATTCATTTTACGAGTATTACATTGAGCTAATGAGCTTTAAACAGTGCTGTTGACTTCATTGTGGGTGTAAAGTGACTGGTTGGCTTTGTACTATTTTTTTAGCTGTTAGAAATCTAAATTGCTCTCAATTTGAAAAATGCACCATGCAAGCCTCTATTAAATACAATATGCAGCTGATTTATTAACAATTATGAGTCCATGCAAAGAGAAAACACATGCAACATGAACACACATGAGAACTAACAAACGAGGAAACACACCAAACATGGAGACAACACTATGGTCGTAAAGAATTTGAGATTCATTGATTTTGAAGATTTTATTTTTAATTTGAACATCATGTTTCAGTCAAATTACAGTACAATCATAGTGCGCTAGTTACAGAAGTGCACATTTGACCATGTAAAGCACAGCACAGGACAGAGATGACACAAGAGAACACCAGAACAAAAGACACACAACACTTCACGATTTACAATCTCTATTCCATCATAAAAACATAAATAACTGACTGTAATATAAAAAAAAAATCAAGGTGAAATGGGATGCTGGAACTGATTACTTAAATAACACTCATGCAGAGCTTTGTGTCAAATTAGATGAATATTCACTGGAATAAATACTTGATCAAAAGGAAAGAAAAAGAGAAAGATCACGGTTTAATGGGAACCATGACTTCTATATTATTAACTGAGCTTTATGACTTTGCCAATGCGATGGTGTAGCTGCATAAATACACTGCAGGGCTCAACAATTACGATGGCCTGAGGCCGGTGTGAGAGCTTCGGGGCAGTCGACGGGACTGTCACTTAACTTTTGGGTCATGTATTCTGCGATGCATTCAACATTATTCCTGCCAATTTTGCTGAAATACATCAAAAGTGTAAAGCGCTGTAGCTGCTAAAATTGAGAGTGATTTGTGAAAGTCTTAAGACACACCAGTTAGAATGTGTTGACGATTTCAAACAAATCACGCTATGCCATAATTTTCAAGTGTGTTTATGAATTTACAGCTGTCAATGGCGTTGTAATGGTATAATTTCTGCTATTATTGCTTAAAAATTCAATAAATAATTAAAATATTAATTATTTAATAAATTTGATTAATAATGTAACTTGTTTAATGCAAATACAAAAAAATGTTTCTTTCAGACTTTACTATTAAAAGTTTGGAGTCAGTAAGATTTTTTAATATTTGTGAAAAGTCTCTTACGCTCACAAAGATGCATTTATTTTGGGTAAAAAAACAGTAATATTGTGAAATATTATTACAAATTAAAATAACTGTTTTCTATGTGAATATACTGTAAAATGTAATTTATTCCTATGATCAAAGCTGTATTTTCAGCATCATTACTCCAGTCTTCAGTGTCACATAATCTTCAGAAATCATAATAATATGCTGATTCGCTGCTCAAGAAACATTTCTGATTATTATCAATGTTGAAAACAGTTGTGCTGCTGAATATTTTTGTGGAAACTGTGATACATTTGATTTTTCAGGATTCTTTGATGAAGAGAAAGTTCAAAAGAACAGCATTTATCCGAAATGGGAATATTTTGTAACATTATAAATGTCTTTCCTGTTACTTTAATGCATCCTATTTATTTAGAAAGAAATGAATGCTTGAAATACTGGAAATATTGGAAATACAGTAAAAAATTATGGTATGGTAAGTTCAAATCAGAACTACCGAAGGGGCCAGCAGAAAAAAGTTATTATTTTGATCCCTGCAATGCATCAGATACAGAATAGCTTGACTTGAGTGAAAACATCAGAGAGAGAGAGAGAGAAAAGAAATTCTAAGAAATCACAACTCTTTAAAAAAACAAACATGCAAACTGAAATACATGCTAGTTAGCAAAAAAGAAAAAAGTAAGACATCATATCATGTACTAATACAACATGTTACATCCCCGTGTAATATATTGCATGTGTAGTTTCATCTAGGAAGGTTTGTGAGGTGTGTTAAAGATCCACACCCAGAGCTGTACCTCAAACAAACACATACAACATCTATACACACATGCAAACACACAACATGTTACAGGTCTCTCACAGAGTTCAGCTCTCCGTGAAACATACTGAGGATGAATAAGAAGACAGACAGCAAGAGTGTAACGAACAGGGTTAACATACCCAGACTGGAGTTTCCCCTGACTATAGTTATGCTTCTCTCATAGCCACTTGAGGGGATGGAGACGTGTTTGGCGTCAGCCTCCATCGTGCTGTTCTGAGAGTGGGAATTTGTCTAGAACACAAACAGAGAAAGCATCATCAGGCATCTTTATTCAGTGAAATGGCCTATTTTCTTCGCATATGCGGGACATGGAAAGCAAAAAGGATCTCTGGAGCTGCTAAGAGCCCTTTTAAACATCTGTCCTGGAGCAATGCTTCATTTCCAGTGCTGAGAGTGTTTATTTAGCACACAGGCATTCAGCTCTCGAGAAACATCCCAGGCGAGTCGGTGCCAGCGAATGTGTGACTGAATGACATTCACAGCTAACCTAGACGTTTTCAGCATCATTACTCCAGTCTTCAGTGTCACATGATTTTTCAGAAATCATTCTAATATGCTGATTTGATGTTTAAGAAACATGTTGAAAACAGTTGTGCTGCTTCATATTTTTGAGGAAACAGTGATGCATTTTTTCTGGATTCTTTGATGAATAGAAAGTACGACTTTTATTTCAAATTGAAATATTATAACTTTTGATTTGCTTACGGTATAAAATAAATCAAATCAAATAATCGTAGGATTCATGAAATAACAATTAACAACTGTTTTTACAGCCTTTATTAATATAGGTTAATGCTGTTCTATAAATATACTATTGTTCATTTTTAATTCATGTTTGTTCATTAAAAATTAATTTATATAACTTGAAATGTTAAACATTCATTAGAAATGAACGTTAACCCAAATTAATAAATATAATAAAAGCATTGTCATGTCAGCTTTTGAATCTTACTGTAAAGCATTTCCAAGAATACTGATAGTTTATTATAAATAATGACTTTTTAGTTTATCTACATCTTATCCCTGCAGATCTCCGTGTGGCGACACACAAGTCGAATTACCTGCACTAATATGCAAGAAACAGGCAGCTTAATTATCCCATTTTTGTGGAAAAAAACGGATTTTGTAATAAAAAATACTGCAAAATGAATGATATACTACAAACAATTTGTTCACAATTAAAAAGTTAAAAACAGTCAACAAGCCAATCAAGCGGACGAGTGCTGTACACACTGGAGTAAACCAAAACCCTCATGTGAATAAGAGATGATGTCACAAATCCTGTCAACAAATAGCCCTCCCAGTTAAACCCTGACAGCTAGAATGACCACACTAAATTAGGTCAGTGGAAAAAAAAAAAACACTTTCTCTATGGCCTACTAACTGCTTGAGTGCAACTAGTTAAAAACAACCACCGTTTGCAAAATCAGCTGCTGCAGGACACCACAAAAGTGTATCATTTTGAAGCATGAAATCTAAACTTTACACTGTGCTGTAAACAACCAACTGAGTTTATGCATTATGAGTCCTTGAAAAGCAGTCGGTTCATGTAGCTCAGATGTTACTGTTACTAAACAGATCCCATTAGTATTATAGCAGCTAAAGCAATGTAAAGCCTACCTGCAAAGTGCCGTGCTGATTGTAATGTTCGGAGTGGCCGCTGACGGTTACATCAGCTCCTGCGTCCTGAGTCTCACTCTCCTGTCAATGACAAAGCTGTATTAAATCTCTTACTCAAAACCCTTGTCCCACTCCTCTCTCACTCGATGGACTCTTAACTTCACAAAGAAGTTCCCAGGACTAGCTAAAGCGGATTTCAGAGCCGTGGGACGCATAAAAACAAACGCACCACTTGTTTTAGGAGGCTGGTGTTAGAATTCAAGAGACATGAATTATTAAAAGATTCCAGTAACCAGAGACTCATGAGCCACAGTTACTGAGTTCACAACAAAGACCACCATCAGACTGAAGCAGATCTACACTAATAATAACAGAGCTCAGGCCAAAAACACTGGACTGACTTGGAATGTACAAGATGACACAGGCAATGCAATGACATCTCAGTCTAAACGATACATAATAGTGTGCTATGAGCATGTTGAATCTTGGAAATTAAACAATAAAACAAAACACAATTTTAATTGTCTGCTATCAATGCCCACCAGTGCATACACATGCATTGTTGGAAAATTCGGTCATGCTTGCTTTAATTTTCTTGAACAATGAACAAAAGTAATTTCTGCCAAATCTCAAATGGTGGAGGTGATGATGGAAATGATTTCTTAAGTATTTTTAGAATAACAGGGCTGAATCGTTTGTCTTGCGAAGGGGAATTTCATTTTAACTGTATGTATTCTAAACACACACAAATAAATACAATTTCATATTTTTGCAGTAATCACAGCTTGAGTGGAAATAACAAAAAAATATTTTGATCTCAAGTCAGAATATTTAACTTGTTTTTCTTCACATACAAATACATTTACTTATACAATATATATATAATAATTAGAGTATTGATATAGAATTCTTGCCTGAACTAAATTAATGTAGAAATTACATTTGTTTTTCTGTAGTATATATTTCACCACAGAATCATTTCGATCAGTGCATTAAAAAAACAGTAATATATTTCTTTGTATTGATGGATTTGTATGTAATTTGTCTGGGTGAAAGGCTTTTGAAAAATAGCAAAAATACATGATATGGATATGGTCAAATGTTTCCGAGAATAACGAAACACCTTTGACATTAAAGTGCTTGCAGTTGAAGAAACTGTAGTTTAATATACTTAAGCAGTCAAAGCAGCAATTAGTCACAGATAATTGATATACATGCTTATCATTCTGCAAATTATACACGTCAAAGTGGTGCACATTGAATTCTCTTCAACAAAACTTCCTTGATATTCCACGATGCCTTGGATGACTCAGAACCTATATAATATCTCAGGTTCTAGATTTCTCCTCCACTGCTCAAGGTTACAGTTGTTGCTGTCTGTCTTGTGAATCGAGCTGATTGTGAAGCAAACAGATAAACTTACCGTTAAGGGTTTGGTGACTCCGATGCATACGATGCCCAAAGCAGTGCTCTTTAGGACGTGAACGGCCTGATCCAGACTCGCGTGGCTCAAGTCAGTCCCGTTCACGAACATCAGCCGGTCGCCTGGCAACAAGCGGCCATCTCTTTCTGCCAAACCGCCTGCTACAAGAGAGCGGATCACTATCACATTATGCCCTGGGTTCATGGGGTCCTGAGAGAGTTTCAGCAAGTGACAGCGCAAGAGAGAAAGAGAAGAGTAGTCATAAATTAGGAAACTCTGCTGCCATGTTATAGAAGGATTTCAAACCAATTGGGACTCCCCAAACCAAGTCATGTGGAGCTCATACTCTGCTGCTCTCGGGGCTCATACTCTGCTGCTCCCTTCTTGTTGTAGTATTGGTACACACACACACACACACACACACACACCTGGTAGTCTAGTATACTGAATCCCAGACCAGAATCGCCTTTCTGCAGCTCATAAACTTGAATCTCGTTCTCCCACATGGCCTGATGGGAAAGCATAGGAGCCTCTGTCCTCCATTCATCCTCTCTGCGTGCAGACGAGTTTTGCTCGGCCTGTGAGAAAAAGTGGACAAGTAAGTATTATTTTGCAGAAACAAATTAGTGGAATCATGTTTACTCATTTGAAAAAGGACAAAAATATTAGCATTAATTCATTTCTTATACTTCAGTTTATTACATGTGAATTGGGAATTCTTTATTCTGATTCGGCATTCTGCATTCTGCAGTCAGTACCATTTTATGCTACTTCAGCAATGTTTTTTTTGGGGTCATTTTTGGAGCTTGACTCATAAAAGATTAGCAAAAAGTACATTTTTATCATTTTTGTCCTTTTGTGTTACACAGAAGAAAAAGAGTGATATGAGTTTGAAACGACATGTGGGTGAGTAAATATCTTTGTTAAAAAGAAGTCCACTTTAGCATAGTTTTAAAAAGGGTACTTACTACCTAAATATTATACTTGAGAAGAATATAATTTTATAACTAAATGCACTGTTCGCATCCATAATGGCATGATAATTGCAATTGACTGTAAATAAAAAATGATTCTAATTTGCATTTATATTAAATGCAGTTAGCTGAACTTTAGAGTGCTTATTGCTACTTTTAAGTAGGACTTACGTACATCTTTAAATGTAATTTCATAGTCTGAAACATGATTAAAGTGTACTGCTGAATGCACTAGAACGCATTTAAGGTAAATATACTTTAATGTCATTTCTATTGAAGCGTGTATGCAATTTATTTAAATATATTTGTAATTACGCATTTGTAACAATGAAAGTCCAATTTAGTGCATGTAAAATATAATAACATATAAGATTGTAATCAAGTATTTTACATGTGCTTTAGTATGTTAGTCAATAAGTGTACTTCTTTAACGCATGACAAAAGATTATTAAAACATAATGACTTAAATTGCACTTTCAACTATCAATTTGACATTATAACAAAGTGCACTTTTTAAAAGTGTACTTAAGTGTGTTAAGAAACATTATAATGAAAGAATATTCCCCTTTAAGTGCACTCCAAGTGCACACTGAATAGACTTCTAATAATGTGGGTAGTGCTTTGCACAAACATTTAAACTTTCGTTTTATTTGTAATGATGCACAGACACACACAGAAAACCTTTTCATTAAATTCTGCTAGTAGCTCCTTGAGGGTGAGTTGTACATCGTCACCATCATCATCATCTTCATCACTGGCTGTGGGTGGGACGAGACGACTGCAAACCACACAAACATTCACGGGAAGTTCCTTCAGCAAGCTCACAACTTCCCTGTGTGTCTCACCAATCAGAGAGAAGCCGTTCACCTACAAACAGAAAAAACACATCAACTCGCTTGCTCTGCTGAAACGATCCTCTGGGCTTTTCTACTGACAGGAAGGGCTATTTTTAAGTAGCTGTCGTGATTGATATTCATGTGCAGTCATCACTGAACGAAGTGCTATGCATAAAAAACAGAATGCAGAAAGAAAGATGAGCGCGTTCGGTTATTATGCATGCATTTGTTAGCAGGGTTTATGATAAGGGATTACAACGGCATAATCTATAAACAACAGTATTATCTGTGTGTAATGCTTGTTTGACTTTGAAGTATAACCAAATATAATTTACATGAGCTTTTTTAGGTAAATAAATTCTAATGTTTGTGTTTGTAAGGATATGTGAGATAATCTACATGAGTATGTGGATAGCCCTTTTTAATTATAATATGAAGTGAACCTCCAGCAGTTCGTCTCCAGGATGAACGATTCCCGTCTGTCCGATCGGACCTTCTGGCAGTATAGAGCAGATATAGTGATGACCTTCCTTAGCCTCCAAACTCACACCAAGACCACTGCTCTCAGTCAATTTCTGTACCTGGGCCACCTGCACACACACACACACACACAGTAAATATAAATGCATTTGCATATAAATATATTGATATACAAATATACAGTAGACATGCGCATACATCAAAAACAGGCATATAAAGAGACACATACTGAATGTAAACATATGCTGACACACACACACACTCACAAATCTCTGCCATGGAAAATAACTGCTAGCTAAACAGGAGAGAATGCAGATGAGACGCACCATGACTTTATATTGAGGACCCAGTTTGCTTTGCCACTTCTCCTTCAATATTTCCTCTTCATCCGACAGTTTGCAAACTAAAACAAAAATTTCACGTCACACAGCTCATAAATAAATGACAACATGACTGAGGAGAATCGACTACAAAAGACAATGTATGTTTTCATCATATTAGTTACATAGTGATAGAGTCAGGATTTAAATATCTACTGTATGTTAGAAATCATCAAGCAAACTAAAGAAACCTTAAAGGAATATTCTGGGTTATTTACAGCTCAATGTCTACGGACAGTATTTGAGACACGATGTTGATAACCATTGACTGGACATTCGGGAAAGAAACTGCAAATGTAAATAATTAAATGCTAACAATGTAATGGAGTACAGTTAGGATAGGAAAATAAATAGGATTATTAACTTTTAAAAGAAAAAAAATGAAATGCTTGTCATATTTTGATGTCAAATGAATATAGTATTTTGGCATTAAAGCATTTATCTGTTACTGATGCTGATTTGACAGCTGTCGAAATGTACAAAAACTATTCAAGGTAAAAGACTACATTAAACACAAGCTAAAGGAATAGTTCACCCAAAAATGAAAATTTGCTCACCCTCAGACCATCCAAAATGTAGATGTGTTTGTTTCTCCATCGGAACAGATTTAGCATTGCATCACTTGCTCACCAGTGGATGCTCTGCAGTGAATGGGTGCCGTCAGAATGAGAGTCCAAACAGCTGATAAAAACATCACAATAATCCACAAGTAATCCACACCACTCCAGTCAACCAGTTAATGTCTTGTGAAGTCAAAAACTGCACGTTTGTAACTTTAAACCATCGGTTTTGGCCACAATATTAGTCCAAAATAACGCTTGCTCTAGTGAAAAAGTCCATCTCCTGTTGTCCTTCACATTTAAATCCACCTACATATTTGTTTAGAACTGTTTTTGCCTGTAAACGGTGCTTGTTCTGTGCATATTTCTCTCCTGATTCAGACCAGACCACTTTTTCACAGGAGAAAGCAATATTATGGATAGAGGACTCATATATTAGCTGGAAACAACAGATTGAAGTTAAAACACATCTTAATGATGGATTTATTTATTACAAACATGCAGATTTTCACTTCACAAGATGTTAACTGGTTGACTGGAGTGGTGTGGATTATTGTGATGTTTTTATCAGCTGTTTGGACTCTTATTCTGACGGCACCCATTCACTGCAGAGCATCCATTGGTGAGCAAGGGTTGTAATGATTCGAATTTTCTTCAAGCAATGCTTAAATCACAATTATATCAGTATATTATAGTAGATGTTTTACTCGTACACTAACAAACCTGAGGAACTAGTCAAAATGAGTGACTGTGATAATCAATTAGTCTATAGACATTGAACTGTAAATATGCTAGAACACAATGTTTTCTGTTCTTACATGAAGGCTGGTTTCTGTTCTCCATGTTGGACTCTAAATAACAGCTTCGCGTTGACTCAACTGAGGTCACAGAAAGAACAAACAGAAACAGAAGCAGTTATTAGAATCAAAGTAGGGTCAAAGAGTTACTAAGACTTCACACAGAGAACAGGCCAAAGTGAAACAGAGCTCATGAGTCAAACACAGTGTGAATGAGTGTAAATAAACCAAAGTGACAAGAGTTTGACTAACTGCACTCTCTGTTGAAGTTGAGGTCCCGGCGTTCAGTGTAGAAAACTTTCCCTGGGGGCAGGACTGGCTTTGGCTCTGGCAGACATGGAGGCAGCGGAGGGGGAAGGAGCCCCTGAAGGGTTGAGGGTCTCTGAGAGATTGTGGACGTTGTGGGGGTTGTCTGTGTTCCAGATGGTGAGCCCTTTCTCTGAAGAGAGATCTCCACTTGTTGGCCAGTCGTGTGCAGAATCTTCTCCGCTTTCTGTTTCTGACCATCCACCTAAAAACACCCCCCCACCCCAAAAATAGTTATTTAACAATTAAATAATATGTCTATATTAATAAAACTAATAATAATATGATTCAAAGGATTCATGTACAGATATTTGTCTTTTATTTATTTTTTCCAAACAACTTCAATGAATAGAGTCCTAGAATGTGAAGGATAAGTTCTCATGTATTATTCAAACCAAAGAAGTGAGAAACCTGTAATTTGTCACTCAAAAATATTATTCCCAGTTATTGTAGTCAAGGTTATTGCTGGCTCAACCCTCATGTTCTTCAGCTTTAAGCTCATAATTTCCTATCTTTTAATAAGTACCTCTGACCCAATCAAAACCCAGAAGTCAGATATTACTGTATCTTTAAAGATGAGCAATACCACTTATTTTCTGTTCAATCCAATATCACGTTCTATAGGAGCCAATAATGCAGACACAGTACATTAAATGGAAAATATTTGCGATTTTTAAGGATAAAACGGTAATTATATTTGAAAGCCGTATTTGATAATTTAATGGGTCTCATCTGCTAATGATCAGGCTTCTGTGTTAGTATCATTAATAACAATTATAGAACATGATCATAACTGATTTTTCACTAAAAACTCATTATAATATAACATTATAACTATTATAGTGTCACATTTAGCTTAATCTTTATTTAGTGTGAAATAGCACCAGATGATGTCTGTGCTTGTGTCTTTCAGGATTTCTGTGTGTTAAGATAAATAGTTCCAGAGCTTAACAACCATATGCTAACACAGTTCATTTTTTCACTACAAAGCGTTATGTTGCGCATTGATTTTCATGCTAAATAACTTTTGCTACAACATCAATACTGAAAATATTGATGCGTCACGAACGATTTGCCCATCCCTAGACACGTTATCCCGCTGTTTTACCACAAAGCAAGCATGCATTTTTCAGAAATGTTCCTAGTATACACTGTATTGTTCATGGTCATTTTGACCCTGGCAAAAAATACAATAAAAGAAATGACACTAAAAATCTGACAGAAGTGTATTTCCACAGTGTGTACAGCAGAATCTCATCATGTGAAAAGTCATTGCATTATTTAATGTTTCATATCTGAGGTCTCTAAAACTCTAAACACAATGAATGCAAAACTTTCCATCGTTTGAAGTGTGTTATGAAGCAAGCTGAAAATCTCTTTAAAATAAGCTCTCATTAGAAAAGTATTAACCTGATACTTCAATGTTAAGAGCTTTTTCGAGCCTGGGGTCTCTGAAACCCCAAACAGAACACGAGGGTTGGACCGACGACACATTTACACAAATGCAAACACAAAACAAGCAACAATGTAATTAATCATACATAGCACTACTAAAACAAACGCTACGATGTAAACGTGCTTCCCACGCACACACACAAACACAACAGAAGCAACAACAGGATTAATAATTGCTATAACATAATTTTAATCTGAAACCACTGAAAATGAATAAAGAAGCAATAAATTGCTTAAAAGCATTAGAACTACTGTTTAACTTTACATGCACACACAAGGAAGGTAAACAAATGTAATTCTCGAAAGATGTAACAAAATAAAGGTGGACTCACAGCAATAATGTGATCTCCGGTGTGAATTTGTCCATCCTGATTCACTGCATTTCCTTTCAGTATGCTCTTTATTTCAAACCCGCTGGACTCTAAAACACCCAATATTCATTTAATGTTTCACGTTTAACATTCTTAGACGGAATGGGAAAATAATCTGAAAGAAAACAGCAAGAAATCATACCTTTGTCCAGGTTATCCAGAGATTTGGAGATGTTGATGCCCAAACCGTTCTTGTTGTTTCTGAATCTGACACCGAACTCTTTTTCCCTTTTCTCTACTAAACCCTGCAGAGGGATAATGCTTTGTTTATTATTGGCTCACCAAATCCACGTATCTTAAAAGACATAATACAGTGGCATTTATGATTATAATACATAATCAAGATAAAGAACTTAGAAAGTGTGAATAAATGTAAAATTTGACAACAAACACTATCTCTTTGTTTTACATTGAGTCTCTCACTTAACCACAAACTCCTTGTGTGTTAATGTCAATGTCAATCAATGTTTGTTGTCATTTTATTACAATACCTGAGTGTGTTTAAGGAATAGTTTTAATTCAATTTGTTTTAAGTGTACATTTTGTCATGTTTCACCATCAGTTCATTCCAAACCTGTTTGATAATTAAAAAGATAATTTAGGCTATTATATTTTTATATTTATCGTCTGCCATAATATCGTAATTATTGTTTTAACGATGTGTGAGCTGCCATTATCGAGTATGTATGAGTATATGCAAAAAAAACAAACAAAAACATGTCTTGACAGTCCACAAGCATTCACTGCATGATGAAACATTTTTAGAACGCAGTTAGAATGACCCTATAATTCAAGTTATGGAAGAAAAAAATCCTTGTATGTTTTTTAAATATATATATATATATGTATATTTATGATATATAATATAGTTGAGTAATATCACACAAGCAAGAGTGCCGTTTTCCCAAAAATCAGCATGTGAGCACGATCACAAATGTTGTATTGCAATTACACAACAGCTTGACAAACTAGAATTTAACATCGAATGAGTTACATTTTAGACACAATATTGTCTGTTTTTCGGTTTCAATCAAAGTCACATCAGAACATGTGTGTGCCTCTGAGCAACACTGCGGTGCTTTGTTCCTGAATTAATCTGTTTTTGAATGAATCGTTTGAGTCAATGATTCAATGATCCATTCATAAA